TAGTTAGAATAAATCAGGGAACACCTCATCCGTTTCACAGTGACATCTGGAGTAAGACAGGGATGTGTCTTATCACCACTGCTGTTTATCACCTACATCGACAGTATATGCAAGAATGCCAAGCCTATGAATGAAGATCTTAGTAAGATCAACGAATTACTCTTTGCAGATGACCAGGCCTTGATAGCAGATTACAGCCATGAAATTGCAACAAACATCTAACATCCATGAATGAAGAATGTAAAACAAATAATATGAAAATCAACACTGAAAAGACAGAAGTAATGTCAATAGGAAAAAAGAAGACAGATCTAAACATAACAATAAAATACAAAGGCATTAAACAGGCATCTGAGTTTAAATATCTGGGAACTACATTTACCGAAGATGGGAAATTGGATAAAGAAATTGACATTAGATGCAGTAAAGCAAACCAAGTATTGGGACAGCTAGCTCCCCTCTTACAGCATAAGACAATCCCAGTCAGCACAAAGAGACATCTTATTCAAAGCATATTTATTCCAACTCTGTGCTACCAGTGCCAGACATGGTCACTCACAACAAACCATAAAAGAAAATTAGTAACCACGGAAATGAGATGTCTGAGAAGGGCTGTAGGAGTGACCATAAGAGATAAGATCAGAAATGCGATCATAAGAGAACAAGTTGGCACAGAACCAATTCTGGATTACATACAAAGACAGCAAGTGAAATGGTTTGCCCACTTAGAGAGAATGCCTTGTGACACCATACCATACAAAGCATACATGGGAAGAGAAGAAGGACGTAGAGCACGGGGTAGACCAAAAACAAGATGGAAGGATAACATCAGAGAAACTCTACAACAGCACGATGTGCCTATGGTCGAGGCAGCCAGAAGTGCTAGAAACAGAACCTTATATCTCCCTCGACACCCACAGCGGTAAAAGAGGAAGTGAAGAAGAAGAAGAAGAATCTGTCTTTCTGAATCTTGGTTTAAATGGAGTATGACAAACAAATCTGTCTTTCAGACTCAAAGTTTAAATAAATTTTGACAGAGCAATATGTCTTTCAGACTGCCAGTTTAAAAAAAAACTATGATAAATAAATCTGTCTTTCAGACTTCCAGTTTAAAGTCTGATGAACAAATCTCTTTCAGACTCATGGTTTAAATAGAGCATGACAAATGAATATATCTTTCAGACTTCCAGTTTAAATAAAGTATGATGAACAAATCTTTTTTAGACTCATGTTTAAATAGAGCATGAAAAATGAATCTGTCTTTCAGACTCCTAGTAAAACACCAGATTCAGGCGGAGTCAATGTGGTTCACCAAGAGACAAGTTCTAAACGCTGTTGTTAACTGACGGACTGCGAGGCACAACACACAGCTGCAGATTGTGTCTTGCTGATTTTGCTCATCTGCATATGCATCAGACCTCACCAGCTGGACCAGTAGATACAAGGGATCTTGGGTGATCATGAGCGGAGCACGGTGGTCACTGCAGACATCGCTTTCATCATTAGAATGGCTTGAAATCCAAGACATCTGCGAGTAGATCATGTTTGAATGCCTGCGTGAATAACTAATTAGCTAACATGAATATATTTGATAGCGTGTATGAAATGAGCCAGGGAGATGAAGAATGAAAGTGCAGATTTGGAGTATCAGTGTAAAATGTGGTTTTTGATGAATGCTATTTCTTTGATCGTTACTTTTAAATTGATGGTGTTAAATTCCATCCTTATGTGTGCAGTCTCTTTTAGCACAGGTGTGAATTGTGTTTTCTGTTGTACAACACAAGTTTTCATTTCTTCTGCTTTAACCCTGCCTCCTTTATACATTCACAACGTTAGTAGTTGTCTAGTGGTACTTGAACCATTCATTGTCAGCCTCCTGCACACGTAATCTGATCCAGACTTGTCTGAGCATCTTTTCAAATGTGTTTTTTTATCTGTCTTTTAAATGTCTCTTTATCATATCTAAATGTCTTTTAAACAATAGCTACCTAAACCTGTTCACAGTTCAGTTCCTACCCTCTTATCTACTTGTCTGTCTGCCTATCTGAAACCAGTCCTGTCTACTTACCTTCCTTTCTGTATACCTATATACCTTCCTACTTATGTACCTACTTACCTGTCTAACCCCCACCCACCACCTGTCTGTCTCTGTTTGGGCATCACCAGTAATGTGGCATATTTAACAGTTCACCCATCCTCATCAGATAATTTGAGGAACAAACAAACAAACTGTATTTGTAAAGAGTCACAAATGAGACACACAGGTCTTTCTTACATTGGGCCCTTCCAAACACTTATATTTCAAATAACAATCTACAAGCATCCTATGTTTATAAAACAATATACAAAATATGAATATTAAGTAAAAACACAAACAAGGAGACGGCAGAGTCATGTCCCTTAGACAATCCCAAGTTTACAAATGTTATGAACTGACAGATGGAATGGGTGTGTGTGTAGTAGACGATGGCAAGCAATGAAAGATTTATATAACTGAGATTATTCTGCATGTTGTAATGAAATGTAATAATTGTTGTTGCATGTTCTTTATCTGGAAGTGTCATTGTTAATGTATTTTTTATATATATTCTTATTTCTGTTATCATGAGTGTGTCAGTGACATTAGCAGAGCTGTCATAGTCCTACATGTTCAGTTGTTGAGTGGGGCATGCTGGAGTCACAACATAACCTAAATCTGGACCTGTTAGAGTCGTCATGGTGAATCGATGGGAGCACTAGCACCCACAACCTGCAGTGTTTCTCTGTCTTCGGCTTGATGAACTAGTGTGTAATAATTTAGCCCTGTCCATTTCTTGATGTTACCATCTCAGGTTCTTCTTTGCCTTTCCCTCCCCTCCCCCTAACTTCCCATTCCCCATTTAGACTAACTGGGAAGGATAACCCAGAAAACAAATGCCCAAAGTTGAATGTATTGGATGAAAGTTGCAAATATCGCAGCTAGGCTGTAGTCAGGCACAACACATTTATCTCACCTGGACAAACGATGAAGACAGAGAAGTAGAACATTTGTGCCTCTCAATCCAACTTATCCAATTTCAGCAAACCCTTCTGACACGCTTGTTAAGAAATAGTTGGTCTGTTATTCTTCCCTCTCCCCCTGCACTGGCACAGAATGATAGTTATTTTATAAATGTAGACCCTAGCACTCATCATAGCTGTCCATAAAAAAGTTAGTTGTATATCCTTTACAGCGTCGGTTCTCAAACTTGTTTTGCTGCGGCACCCTCTCAGGGCACAATTTTTTCGCAGCACACCTACCCTTAAAACGGTTTGAATATTTAGGAAAAGGGGAAAAAAAACAGTGCACATTTCATGTTCTTTTGTCTTTAATGCGATGAATGAAACTTTTTGAATGAATTTTTCATTATATTTTCTTTGTGTATGGGAAGTTAGTTAATTTTACCCTCAAATCACTTGGCCCAGAAAGTTTGCTCCTGTATCTGTTTTTTGTGTAAGCGTACGTTGAGAATGCATTGCAGCCGTGTCAATAGCATTGTCTTCTGCTGTATAAACCTGCATCCAGAACTCTTCTTGGCTTCCTTCACGGTATATCTGTTTTAAACTGCTGTCTTTGTTGATCTCACGCAGATTTTGAAAAACTCTTGATTATTGCCGCGGCACTCCGGCATACGCTCGTTGCACACCTGGGCGCCATAGCACCCAGTTTGAGAACCACTGCTTTACAGGTCATTGCAAAACTAACCCGAGAATTTCTTGGCTGTTTTTGGTTTTGCCAGATAATTTTACTTCAGTAGTTTGCCATTGCTTTCTAACAGGTTGGCTCTCATTACCTTTATCTTCTTCTTCTTCTTCATCATTTTCACCAGCTATAAACTCTGGCAGAAAGTTTTGGTCATTCGTCAACCTCCGCACTAAAGTCTTGTTCCAGAACCTGAGTGTTGCATACACATCCATTTTACAGACCTGGCTTATTTAAATGCAGACTGTTAGTTCCTTGTCCCTCAGGCAGATGAACTCCGATTTCGAAGGATGTCCCCAGTTAGTCAGTCTACTGCTACAACATGCTTGTTGGGGAGGCAGTGGGTCTATCAGAACCCACCTGTTGAAGTCAGCAGAAGACTGTTTCCTGCCCTGAGATGCCAATATTTAGGCATTGCCTTCCATTACAATTCCCAGAGTAGCCTATCTTTTGGCAATTATGCTTTCTTTTTTTCGGTCCCCATTTTGCCTGTTAGTGCCTGCACAGTGTTAGGAAGGGCCCAGTAGATTTTATTTATTTAAAATAGTTTTTAGAGTTGTTTCATTGTTTAAAAATATTTTTTTTTCAACCAATCATTTACCTTCCGTGATTGGGGTCACGGCATGGGTCTGCGCATACATTTTTCTTTAAACCCAAAGGCAGGTAAATCATCTAATTCTCTGCTTTGTTCATTTTTGTTGCTTACTTCCCTTCATGCATTTATTAAATCAATTTGACAAAAATGTACATAAAACAATTTTTTTCAAATTTAATAATGGCCTGTGTTTGTTTATTTGTTGGCTGTGAACTCCGGCGGAAAGTCCTGGTGGGTCATCCAGTTCTCGACCTTGTCTTTGTTCCAGGGCCGGAGTTTTGCGTGTTCATCTATTTGAGAGAACTGCAGTCAGCCAAACTTGCCCGCAGTCTATTATTTGCTTACCTCCGTCAGTAGGTTAAACCTGACTGCGTGGTGACCAGGTGACCAACTCCTTGTGGTCCGGGTTCACGCCCTGGAGTAGGCAGAAAAAGTCACATTTCTGCCAGATTTACGGTATCTATCATGGAATCAAGGCTGAAGGGTTGCGGTATCCATAGTAATGAGCCAAAGGGTTAACAAACAACTCATGGTTTCTGAATTTGAAATTTTTTTTAAAAAACTGTTTGCCTGTTGAGCAGATGCACTCTGACTTTCATGGGATTGTCAGTCCTGTTTCTAGGATCACTGTAGCCAGTCTGAACCATTTGTTCCCATGTAGTAGGATTGTTTAGACATCTCAGCCTTTATCGCATACAGGGTGTTTGTAAAGTCTCACAACACTTTTTATGCAGAAGAAATGTGAAAAACGAAGAACATTAAGTCTTTACAAATAAGCGCTCCACAGTCAATCATGAAGCAATATTCAGTGAATGTCTGTCATCTGTTGAGAAATTCTTTGATCTCAAAACATAATGGTTTATCATTGGAAGCAGTCAGAATTATCATTCAAGAAATATCAACAGGCACGTTACAGAATGTAGTTGACAATATGAAGAGTCCTCCTGTGGGAGGGGGCAGGGAGCACCAGCTCCAAGATCCCCTGCCAGATCTGTTGAGGCTGACATAGGCCTGACAGGCAACTCAAACTAAACTTGTGGCAGAAATATTGTATAAAGTTCTGGTAAACCAGCACAGACCAAACTGGCGCCTGAGATGAAGTACAGGATATCTCCTTAAACACCCCACAACAACATTAACTTTCCCCTTAAACACCCCACAACAACATTAACTTTCCCCTTAAACACCCCACAACAACATTAACTTTTCCCTTAAACATCCCAGAAAAACATTAACTTTCCCCTTAAACACCCCACAACAACATTAACTTTCTCCTTAAACACCCCACAACAACATTAACTTTTCCCCACTTCGGTGATCGAAACCACTATGCCCTAGTGGCCTCCGTCAAATAGTGTTTTTTTTTTACAAGTATTTACTTTTCCTCAATTCCTAGTTACCTGACAGGTTTTAGGGGTAAAAGGGTTAAACTGGTCAGTGCTATGTCATGTTGTTCAGTTAGACAACAGATGTCAAGTATTAGAGCAGGTCACATCTCCACTCTATAACTGTGACATGCTCAGCATCTTTTAATTGTTAGGATAATGTGCTTTACTTTCCATATCCACATGGCAGGTTGCTGAGAATTTTCATATCCACATGGGTGGTTGCTGACCTTTTTTTTATATCCACATGGGTGGTTGCTGACCTTTTTTTATATCCACATGCCAGGTTGCTGACCTTTTTAATATCCACATGGCAGGTTGCTGACATTTTCCATATCCACATGGCAGGTTGCTGACATTTTCCATATCCACATGGCAGGTTGCTGACATTTTCCATATCCACTTGGCAGGTTGCTGACATTTTCCAAATCCACATGGCATGTTGCTGACATTTTCCATATCCACATGGCAGGTTGCTGACATTTTCCATATCCACTTGGCAGGTTGCTGACATTTTCCAAATCCACATGGCATGTTGCTGACATTTTCCATATCCACATGGCAGGTTGCTGACATTTTCCATATCCACTTGGCAGGTTGCTGACATTTTCCATTTCCACATGGCAGGTTGCTGACATTTC